GGAAGAGGCTGCCCAGGGAAGTGGTGGAGTCCCCATCCCTGGAGGTATTTAAAAGACGTGTAGGTGTGGTGCTTAGGGACATGGTTTAGAGATGGGCTTGGCAGTGCTGGGTTTATGGTTGGACTTGATCATCTTAAAGGTCTTTTCCAACTGAAATGATTCTACAATTCTGTGATTAATGAAGATGTTAAACAGGACTGGGCCCAGTATTGGCCCCTGGGGTACACCACTGGGTACTGACCTCCAACCTGACTTTGTACCATTAATCACCACCCCTCGGGCCCAGCCGTTCAGCCAGTTTTCAGTCCACCTCCCTGTCTGCTAATCCAGCCTGGACATCAACAGCTCGTTTATGAGGATCTTATGGGAGACGGTATCAATAGCCTTGGTGAAGTCCACACAGACAGTATCCACTGCTCTCCCTTCATCTACCAAGCCAGTCATTTCTTTGTAGAAGTTTATCAAGTTGGTCAAACGTGACCAAATTTAATGTCAACCTTAAATTTATAAAGCCTCTGCTGAAAAGTGATAGCAGTGAATTCCCTTTAGCAAATGGGTCTAGGGAAGATAATAGCACGAGTTTCTGCTCTGTTCTCAATATCGTGTCATTTAGGTTCATTCTCTTTGTGCTGCAAAAGCATCACTTGCACAAAAAAAGAGCAAGTATAGCTTTGGAAAGCAAAGTCTCAGTAACGTAAGTCAGAGATCTTTTTCAAAGTGAATACTTAGAGGAACCCATATTCCTATCTGATGCCATCAGTTTCTTTGCATCTCTTGTGCTGACCAAGGTCCTTAGTTTTGTGTTAACAGCAGTACTTCGGCACAGTAAAAAAAACAGCCTAGTGATTATCTTTACACAAGTTGCCTGAGTATCAAGAAAGTAATTCCTTGATTGTCTCACTGATAAATAAAGTTCCAATTTCAAGATCAGCTTAAGAATTAAATATGCTCTGGGGCAGCAGCTGAGAGATACTTTGTTTAAATAGCAGTATTCTGGAAATAAAAGCTACTGACTAAGCATATACTTGATGTAAAAGAATAGGATACCGTATTTTGTGTTTATATACTATGCTACTTTTTAAATGCCAGCTGCCAATTTGCTGGGGACTATGGCTTTCCCGCTGTTACTGCTCAATGCTAAATGTACATCCCATTTTTCTGTGATGTTACTGGCTGCAGGTAGTTAGTTCATTCTGGAAATGCAATTGTCTATGTGCATTTTGAAATAAACCTTCCAGTCAGCTATCTTGGTTCAGCGTTTTGAATTACCTTGAAATCTGAACACCTAATCCATCTGCTGTAATTGGGGAAGGAAATGCTTTCCCAATTTATATCAGTTTCCAATCTATTCCCATTACTGTTGCTTTTTCAAAAATACTTTATTTTCAACATCTGCACAAGCTTTGTGCTCCACCTACTGGCTGATTATCATTGATTATTTAATGAAAGCTCTTTAAATTATTAATCAGTGTTGTTGACAGAAAATGCAGTCTAGTGCCAGAAATAGGAAAAAAATGTTAGTACTTGGTAAACAGAGAGGGCAAAGCGTTAAGAGTTTTGTGTTGCTTTCTACACCAGAATGAAGCTGTGAAAAGTAGTGGTCCTGAATGCAGTATTGCCATTTCTGGTAACAGGCCACAGGATTGTGCTGAAATTGCAAGGCCTCAGGACAGACGCTTGCCAATCTTGCTTTCTCTGAACCTGCCCACAGCTTTGTTTTGCTTGGTTTAGCTGTAACAGCAATTTCTCTAATTGACCAGGTCTCTGTGGCTAATTTATTTTGCCGTTGTACATCTTTTTACGGTATGACCATAGTTTTATATAGATAGCAGTAACAAGCAGTTATTTTATGTAGAGCATGAGATATTTATGACTCTAACATAATGATGTAGTGTAGGGTTTAGGGAAATCCAGGCCTGGTACGACAGCAGAGGCCTTGAGAACTGGAGGTGCAGGATGTGGTGTAGAGGAGTACAGGCACGGGATGGTAAGGAATGGTATACAGGCTTGGCACTGGAGACCCCACACCTATAAACAACTCACCGATAGTTGGTTAAAGAAATGCGAAGCTAGACCTAACAAAACTGGCTTTAGGGGTAACAAAGAGAGTAAGAGAATAGTACGTAATATATATAAAAGTCACCATGTATGGAATATTTGGAGGTACTGTAGAGCTGCAGATTGATGAAGAAAGAGCAAAGGTGTAAAAGTGTGTTAGCAAATATAAAAATGACTCCAAGTGGATCCTGAGGTGAGGAAGAAGAAAGCATTAACATGAACAACCTATTGTTCCCGGTGAAGGGACTCCAATTGCTGACAGCTCACCACCATAACACCCCAGCACCACCAGAATGAAACTACCGGCCTTGGGACACAGAAAAGCAATGGAAGCGTGAGCATTAGGAAAAGGGGTAGAAACTGAATGTGTGAATAACGGTTCAAACTGTTTGATCACTATTATTGAGACTTTCTCTGTATAAAAGTATTCTAACTGTATTATTATTTTTTGGTAAGAATTAAATCTGGTTTAATAATGATTAGATTCTTAAGATTTGAATTATGCTAACCAAAATCTTGACTTTATATAAGGTGTGCTTACGTTTTGCCTATAAACAAGATTTGGAGTGTAGCAACTGGTGGATAGGGCGGGCAGCCCTCCTGTGACCCTTTGAGGCATTTTGGAGGACAGGTCTCTGTGAGCCCTTATGGCATTGTAAGGGTCTGTCCTTCTGAAGCCCTTACAGCAATTTGGGGCTGTCCTTTTGTATTCAGCACATGGTAATCTAAGAAGATGAGGGAGTAGAGTTAATATGTGTTCCTATGGTCCTGGTAAGTATCTCACTTAAAGAAAAAATTGATTTATGGGCAATGTCCACGGATATTTTTAAGGATATAAGGTGTGTTTCCTGTTTGGCCATGAAGAGGATTTTGAGTGTGACACTCCATTCTAGCCTTTTCTTGGTCTTGCTGTATTCATTAAGTATAACAAATACCCTCCTACCTCACTTTTAAAATTACTGTGCACTGGTTTGCAAATGTGATATGGCAATGGATGAATAATACCAACTGGGTATCAAAAGGTTCATTTCATAGCATTTCATATGCACTGTATATATTTCTTTTTTTATTTTCATCCAAGGCAGTAGTAAGCATTTAGTCTACCCAGGAATGTAGCATCCATCACTTCACTGTGAAGATAATTTAATAAAATTAACCAGGAAATAGTTCCACCATCTAGTCATACTGGTTTTACCATAAAAATACCTTCCATATAATGTCTGTATATGTGAAACTACTACATATTTCAAGTTTCGTATTCCAAATTCACTATAAATATTTTGGCAGCCATTTCAAAAATTGCTGCACTGCTGGGTTGTTTATAGTAGACAGAAAAACTGGGTTAAAAAAACACCGGTCAGGAAATTCTTCTGCTAACTCTCCATCTTAAAGCTATACTCTTTTGCCAATGTTACATCTGTGATATGAACCTAAGCTGGTGGCTTAAGGAGAGTGGATGAACAAACATTTGCTTTAACTGTTTTTCTGCAAGATGTCAGTGTGCATTTGTAAAATTATTTATTTTACATAATGCACCTGGGTGTCACAATTTGCATTCTGTGAGGTCAAGAAGTTAATGATTCAAGCTTCACTCAGTATCTTTCATGCATTTCCTTACATTTAAAATAAGATCCTTTTTCTCCCTCATGTCTTAATCCAAACCAAATAGTGATCATGATGAGCTGTGGTGAAAAAGACCTCTTGCATCAGCATTTGCACTTGCCCATTTCCAGCTACATGGAACAACGGTCTTTTTTTTTTTTTATGCCAGTTATTAGGAATGTGGAAAAGTGCAGCTAAGTCATACTCCAAAATCGTTTAAAAAATACATAAATAAAGACTGTCAGAATTCACTCTTTCTTTTTGGAGTTATACGCTGGAATTATTCCAGGTGCAAAGCTGTAGAATTTCCCACATGTCTGAATTTAACAACTATAGTTCAACTAAAGGCCTTCTTGAGCAGCTTCTAGAAATATTAAGGGGATCAAGAAGAATGTGTTTAAAGTACTTACTAGGATAAGCAAGTCTGTTTCCTCTGTTGTGATTTTCCTATTTCTTTAGTCAGGATAAAGATGTAAAATATTGCAGATTTTAACATGAGTGGAATACAGGAATACTGAAAGTTGACAATGAACTCTAGTTCTACTTTTTTAGTTCTAACTGCTGGGTTAAAGTTTCTGTGAAATTTTAACGAAATTGCAGTAAGACATTTTGTGTGGATAGAGTTCTCTGCAGATTTTTTTCTATTTTTGGATAACTGCTTGTCTGGCCTCACCTCATGCCTGAAGTGAGGCCATTCCTGTTTGCTGACAAACTGAAGTTTGCAAATGAAACTTGCAGTGTTGGGATCCTATTTTAATTAATTGTTTCTCTTTGCATAAGTCAATCTTCTGTCTTACCCTTCATTTGAAGCTGTAGAGTTTTATAACTTCATCTCTAGAAGAAGAGTTACCTTGAACTGTAGAAATTAACCTGGATTTTTGGAAGTGTAACTATTACATGTCATTTGCAATAAACAGGTTGTTAAAATAAAAGGTGAGCTACCATCTGTGTACATTACAGGATGTAGTCTCAGCAGTTCTTGTGAGCCAAGACAATTGTGAGGAATACTGCTGCTGGGAGATCTGGAGCTATCTGAGGAGAATGTACTTCCAAAGCAGAAGCAGTAATTCCTTGTGTTTTGCACTGGCATTTTGATTTTTGACCTTGGAGAACATTAATCCAGCGTGCTACATACATTAGCAAAAGCAGTAGATCCTTTCACACATTTTTGTCTCTCTTCTTGCTTTTGGTTTTTCATATGCTCCACCACTGTCTTTCCTGAGCTTAACACTGGTAGTACTGGAGGTGTAGTACTAAAGAAAGGAAGATCAGATGCTACACAACTTCCAGTTTCCCCTCATGGTATGGGGAGGAGTTTTAAGGTGCACTCTTAATGAATGCAAGTACGTGGTCTTTGTGATTTAAGGTTTGAATAGCTGCATGGAATCTGGTTACAGTGCATTTCCACTTTAAAAAAAAAAAAGTATCTACTTTGCCTTCAGTTTCTATTAATGAAATGTAATAATTTGTCCATAAAATTGGGAAATCTCAGTTGCTAGTTTCAGTATGTTTTGACAACCATGCATATATGAATTTTCAAAGTAGTGAAAGTTCCTTATTTCTTTCTCTGCCACACTTTGTCTTCCAGGTGGATTAAAGGGGATATTCCTGTAAAAGTGTGTACTTGGGAATTAGTTGGCAGTGTTCCTATTTTTGACTATTGTGCAATTACAGCCTTTAGACTTTTAGAAATACAAAGTACCTATTTCAGATTATTTTTCTATTTGTTTTCACAGGTGATCAGTCAGCACTTTGAAGGGATACTAGGGAGGGTCAAGTTGAATATTTCAGTTTGAACTTCTTCCCTGAAAAGCAAAGGGAAGAATAATTAAAATAGCTTGAGTTAAGGAGTAGCTCTGTTAAGTAGCAGCTTTGCTCCCCTAAGCAATATGATCTATGAAGACCTGCAAGTGACTAAAATTATGGGAAGGTATCTTATTGTGATGAGAGAAACAAAGAATATATGGCTAAATATTACTACCTCTCTTTCCACTAATGCTGGCTAGGAGTGGCACCCTACTTAGTGTATTAGTGACCTGTCAAATCCCATTTCTAAAACACGGAGAGCTTTAAAGATGGGAAGCTCCCAGTTGTAGTGATCCTTGCATGGCAGGCTTTAGAAGTTTAACTTGAAGGTATTACATTTACAGTATTATTGTATTTAGAATAGAAAGTTTCCAGGGATGAGGCATCTACCACCTCTCTGGACAACCTGTTCCAGTGTTTTACCACCCTCATTGTAAAAAATATCTTCCTTATATCTAGTCTGAATCTACCCTCTTCTAGTTTAGAACCATTATTTAAATATTACTTCCCTACATAGGCACTGTGCCAATAAGTTTACTGAGTATATTTCACTCAAGGAGCTAGTTTAAGTTTGTCAGTAAAAGCTGATGATTTTGTCAGCAGGA